GTTTCAAACTGAACTCGATGGCTGCTTTGTTTTCTCCGTGTTAGTTCTGACCGTTGCAGAATGAGCTGGGTTTAATTTCCCGTTTCTCCCTCTTTCTGTTTTCTTTTTATAAATATATACATAAATATATATATATATATTTTGTTGTTGTCGTTGCAAGACTCTCGTCACTGGAAAAGAACAATTGTTTCTGGTGCAAAAAAATAAAAAAGAAAACACACACACACAAAAAAAAAAAGCTGAGAAAGGCACGATGGATCTCCCCGATGTAAATTTGTACAGTAACATTTATAACGTTTTCTACACTTTAAGAAAGTATTTATAATTTCCGCTGTCTGACTGAGTGCGAATCTCCGTGACCTGCAGAACTGGTTAGCCCTTCGTTCCCGTGGTTTGTCGTGCAGTGTTTGGTGAGGTGACAGTGTATGAATTATTTATGCCAATAAAAAAAACCACTTGGAAAACCAGCGCGCCCCGTGTGCCCACCTTTGGTGCTCGGGGGGGGACACACACCGCATCTAACACCCCCCCCCACAGACCCTCCTCATCCTCACCAACATCCCGCTGACCTGGGGCTTGTAATTAGGGCCGATAATTCACGGTGAATACCTGGGAGGGGAGCACAGGGAGATGGGTGAAGGGTAGAGCAAGCAGGAGAATAAATCTCAGCCGGGCTGTGCCGGGTGCTGCCGGGGGTGCTCGTCCCCAGCCGGGGCCCCCCCGGGACGGCTGAGCCCCGTGATGGAGCGCTGGGGGCGCCGTGCATCTGCTGCTCTGTTTGCTCGCTTCTCCCACGCTGTTTTACCGGGGGGCCACCATCCATCTGCCAAAACGCCCGTTGGAAAGCAGCGGCGGGGGCCCTTCTGGTAGGTGACGGGGAAGAAAATCGCGGCGGGTTCATGATTTCCACCCCCCCCCTCCCCTTCCTTCCCCGGCCCCTTCCCGCATCGCCATCGCCCGGGTGCTTGAAAGGTAAAATAATGATGGCTCGCCATTAATAAACCATGAACCCGCAACACGTTCCCCTGTCGAGGGCTTTTCATCTTTCAAAGCCTGCAGGAGGCGGTAAGCAATTAGGGCAGGCGCATCCTGGGGGGGCAGCGGGGCCGGCTGGGGGGGATTTTTGTAGGATGGATGGGGAAAGTGAGACTGGGAGGGACGGGAGAGGTGTTGGGGACTGGGGGCAAAGAGCCACCACGTGAAACCTTCGTGTGCTCAAGGCTTTGTCCCCCCAGAAGCTGATGGGGATGCTGGTTTCACCACAGCATCACCGTACCTGTGCCATAACCCTGTGGGTTCCCCCATATGGACTGGGGGGGGGTCCCACTGGCCTGGATTGTAACTGGTTGACACTGGTAGGGCACTGGGCAGCACCACGGGGGCAGAGCCACTGATTGACCCCCCTGCCAAGCCCAGGGCGGGGGGTGCTGAGCTCTCATTCCTAACGAGGTGCCAGCACCGCTATGGGGATAAATCCACGCTGTGTCCCCCGGAGCAGCCCCAACAGCGGTGTTTGGGGGATTTGAGGCTCCCCGGGACCCGGATCTGTGTGTGGATGTGTTGCAGAGCCACACGAACGCACGCACGTGTCCGTCATCTCCGTCTCCCTGCCGATGAATCATGAGCCATTAATATTTCACAGCGGAGGACAGGCGCAAAGAGGAGCTGAAACGCGCCCGCTGCCAGCTGGGGACAGGGCTGGGGACGTGGTGGTGGCACGGCGTCCCCGTGTCCCCGTGGCTGCTCGGATCACCCCCCTCCCTCCAGACACAGGGGGTTTATCCGTGCACATCTTCCCCAAGAATTAAATGTATGCTGAAGCCATTTATTGGCACGAACTTAAAAAAATAAAATAATAATAATCAGATGTGCAAGTGCCAAACCCGTGCAGCTGCTAGACCTGGATGCCACCATGGAGGGGACCGCGCTGTCACCAGAGGGGTGGCTCCAGGCACCGCTTCTCCCCCTGGTAGCACGGCAGAACGGGCTCGTTTTCCCCCCTTTCTGCTCTGGATAGGCAGAAAAAAGAGAAAAAAAGCCTGGCTGGGAGCCAGATCGTGAGCCCAGAGGGTGAGAAACCGTGGGTGGCCCCCGCGCAGCGCCTCCACCCACCCCAGCACCAGGATGCGGCCGTGGGGAGCCGGGGCTGGGGGTGCCCGGATCGGATCGGTGCCCGTGGCCGTGCTGGATCCTGCCTGGCACAATGGGGCATTGTTCGCCCGCCCTGATTTATGTTTCCTCCTTGTGCTTTCTCAGGAACCTGCACTGAGCTCTCGCTGCTGGGGTGCCCTGGGCCGGTCCCTGCTGGGCACCAAGGGACCCGGGGGGGTCCTGGCACGGGCTGGGGATCCGTGAGCCCTTCGTTAGGGTCAGGTATCTTGTCAGGGGCCATCCTGCCCAGGAGCTGGGACAACCCAAACCCTCTCCATCACTGATGTTGCAGAGAGCAACGTGGGGAGCCCCAGGCAGGCGGCTGACGATGCTCCGACTAATTGGCTGCTTGCGCCACGGCCGCCCACCCTCTAACAGGATTGCTGCTCCTAGCTGGGGCAGGGCTGCTCCTGCTTTGCTGCTTGCAGAGATTAACGCCAGCCAGGGCTCGCAAGGGAGCTGCCCTTAGGTTTCCATCCTGCCCTACCCACCTGGAGGGGAAGGGGGTGCCTCGGTCCCCCCCCCTTGGTGCCTGCCCGCCCTCCCCGCGCGTCTCGGTGCTCCCGTTGCTCAGCAGATTCCCTTTCCTCACCTCTATTTTTACCCTGCCCTTGGGTGCCCGTCTCCCGAAATCTGAGCCCCGCTGCCTTGCCCCGTGCCCAGGGACCTTGCAAGGCTCTGCCCGACTCCGGCACCCTGGGGACCCCTCCTGCCCCGGGAAGGAGCAGAGATTTGCAGTTCCCAGCTTTGTGCGCTAACCGCCGCAGCTGCAGCTTCCTTTGAGGGGCGAAGAGCCACACCATGCCCCGGGCAGCACAGGTAGAAAGACCAGCTAAAGGCTTTCTAGTGCCTAGCAGCTGTTTATTCCTTGTTTTTTCTTGGGGGTGGGGAGCAGGGTGGCTTTCTGTGTTTGTATGGCAAACTGCAAGCCTGGGGGTGTCGGGCAGGGATGCTCTGCGGTACCTGCTGGCTCCGCGTCCCTGGGGAGCTGCAGGGGGGACACCAGAAACCTTTTTCTCCATGGGTCTGGCAGGAGCAGAGCATCCTGAAGCTGGGAGGGGGCACAGGTTGTCCCCCGCGGGGGCAGCAGTGGGAACAGCGCAGATCCCACCAGGCTCTTCCCCTCCACTTGCAGGAAAAGCGTCCTGCAGGGTGAACCTGGCCCCTCCGTGGCCAAAGCGATTTATTTCCCAGAGCCTGGGCACTGCCTAGGGGCTAGGAGAGAGAAAGCACAGGCCCCTTTGTGAGTAGGGTCGGGAAAGGGCTGCCCCAAGCTGTCCCCAAACATCCCAAGCAGAGCCCAGGCACAGCTGTGCGAAGTGCTGCATCTGCTTGCTGCCTCTGCTCCCTGCGCTCTCATTTCCTCTCTCGTTTTCTCTTATTTTTGGCTGCAACCTTTTCCCCAGCACCCTTGTGGGCACGGGTCCATGCTCACCCCTTCTCCTCTGCGGTGCCCAAACCTTGCTCCCAGCCCCAGCCCCACAAAACCAAACCCTCTGGGGGCTGTTTGAGTTTTGCCTTTCCAGCGGCGCGGTTTTTGGGCGCCGTACCCAACACCCCGATGCCATCCAGGAGGTTTGCTGGGAATGTGCAGGGTAGGATTTGGTCATGGGGAAGCCCTCGCTTTTTGGCTGGGTGATTTCCACCTGTTCCTTCCCCTGGGCTGGAGGAAAATGGATTGCCCCATTTTAAGGGACCTTAAATACAATGCAGCAGCCCTGGCCTCCCGGGGAGCACCCACCCACACCCACCCCATCACCCGTGGGGCCGTGCTGCCTCCGGGCAGCGCTGCTGCAGCACCCAGGGGACACTGGTGAGTGGGGCTGGGGGCTCGGGAAGGGCTTTGGTGGTGTAGGAGGAGGAGGAGGAGGAGAAGACCAGGGGCTGTGCGTGCCTCATGGGGCTTGGATCCTGGCCTTGGGATCGTGCTCAGGCTCCTAAAGGTGCAGGTGGGAAGTTTTTGCATGGGGAAAGCCTGGATAGGAGGCGACCGGAGGGACCCTGGTGATGATCTGATCTCGAAGCCCCGCTGTAATTAATGTGGAGCCCTGGGCCACGTCCTAATTCTCAGGCTTTGCAGGGGCTGAAGGCACGGTGAGGAGAAAAATCAGTGCAAAGCCCTCTGAGGTGCATGCAAGGGGCTGTTATCTCCTGACTGAGCTGGGGGTGGCCTTCAGATGAAACCCCACTACCAAGGACAAGAATGCTCCTTGCATGCTCTTCAGGGGCAGACTAAAACCAAAGCCTGCTTCCTCGTAGGTAAAATTCCTTGGGCAAAACGAGAGCCTTGCTCACTGTGGTGTGGAAACAGGTTTTTTCCTGGGAGTGGGGCTTGTCGGGCTTTGGGGAAAGGGTTTTGCAGTGTGGAGGGTCTCAGGGCCCTGCACAGCACCCAGCTGGTGCCATGGGGCTGCAGCCCGGCACTGCCTGCGGGGCTTCGTCCTCTTTTTTTTCTTTTCTCCCCTCCTTAGTCGGGTGTTTGGAACACAAATCCAACGCCCTCTCATCTTCACCCTGTCTCCTCCAAAACGCACCTGGGCGAGACCTGAAACCGCCAAACGCCTTGAAAACGAGCTGGAAAAATGCAGCTTGTGCGATTTGGGAAGGAGCAGAGCAGCCTGCACCTGCGGAGGTTAAAGTTACTGAATAACCAGCGCCTCCACCACCGGGACCCCTCGGGGCTGTGACGCCCCACAGGTGCTTGTTTTACCCCAAATCGCAGGCGATGCCCCCTGCTCCCACCTGTGGGGGCCCCGAGGGGCTGTCGGGCAGATCAGGGTCCCCGGGAGGGCTGCGTGGAGCTGGGCACGGGGAGGGGACGTGGCTGGGCCCCGGCGAGGGCGAATGCCACCGTGGGAAAGCTGGCTGGGGCTGCGCAGCCGGCTCGGCACGGCTCAGCCAGCCCTCCCGCGGCTCTTCTGCAAGCAAGCGCGGTTCGTGGAGCCGCCGGGAGCTTTCTGTCCCCATCTGGACAGCCCCAGGATGCAGCCGGAGCCGTGGAGCCGGTGCGTGGCTTTTGTTCGCTCGTCCTCCCCGCGACGGAGCCCCGCGTGCGGGGGCGCGATGCCGGCGCACAAGTAAGGGTGGGGTGGCCGTGGCGGTGTGGCGAGCCCGTCCGTGGGGTGTCCCTGTTGTCCCTGCATGGCTGGGAAGCGGGGGAGCAGGGACAGATGTCTGAGCTGTGACTGAGCTGGGAGGTTTCCAGGGCACACACAGAGGTGGCGATGTCAGGGCTATGGGGTGGCCGCGGTCGCATGTCCCAAGCCCCCTGTCCCCTGCTGGTCCCTTAGCCCAGGAGCTGTGCTGTGGTCACCTCTCATCTCCGACCCTCTGGCTGCGTGGCTTTTTCCACCCTTGCATTCAAGCTTGCTGTTGGCACAGGGGGGCTGCCCTCAGCATCGCTTTGGCCGGCGCAGGACATCGCAGCACCCCTGGCTCTTCGAGCCGTGGGTCCCTCTGCTCCTTGCGGGGTGGCTGTTGCTCTTTTTTTTTTTTTTTTGGGACCTTCAGCTCTCAATACCCATCCCAAGCCAGCTCTGTGCTGACTCGTGAGCTCGAGCTGGGGTTGGAGAAGCCGAGCAGCACAAAGGCACGGCGGCGGGGGCCTCGTGCGGAGAGCGAAGCTCGGCGGGAGGCATTTCCAACCCGTGGGGAGGCGGCTGCTCCTTCCCCGAGCTCATCCTGCAACTGCGCCTGCACGCAGCTGCGCCGGCTTCCTGGGAAGTCCTATTGATGGCGAAGCAATTCTTAGAGGGGGGGGGGGACAGCTGAAGTTATCCGGGGCCGCGTGCGGCTGCAGATGCAGGGCTCTTACCCCTCCCCTCCATCTTATTTGAGGGGGGCGTTGGATAACGTGATGAAAAGCTGGAGCCGAAGTCCATCTGCTTCTGACAACCTGAGCGCTCTTTGGCAGCTTCCGAATTCAGAGTTTTTGAATTCCTCAATAATTAGACTTTTTTGGGGAGAAAAAGAAAAAAAAAAAAAAGAAAGAAAAAAAGAAACACAAACCCATCTGGGCTTTTTCATTATGGGAATGAAAAGCCAAGGTGGGTGTGGGAGGGGGAAGGTGGATTTTCATCCTTAGCAACCCAAATCTTGAAATATTACATCAGCGCCGAAGAGGTGTAATTAAGTAGGAAACAAATGAGACCAGCTAATCTGTTTTGCTTGTTTGAGCTTAGCGGAGCGCAGAAAACAAACAGAGGCTGAATGATGAATGAGACTTTTTTTGCTGCAGGGTTTTGCCTCCCCGAGCCCCGGGGGGGTTCAGGCCATGGGGCAGGGAATTTGGCCTCTTTCCCCTGGCGCTCGCTGGCCGGTGGCTCGGAGGGCACCCGGCGGGCACCCGGCAGCGCTTGCGTTTTTCCCGTTTCTTGCTTAAATTGGCTGCCTCTCGGAGCCGGCTCCCTTGGACGCCTTCCCAGAGCAGGCGAGGAATGGGGACAGATCCGTGAATTGCTGGGAGGGGGGCAAGAAAGCTGCAGCCCCATGGGGCCGGTGCCCTTTAGCACGGCAACCCCGGGAGCTTCCGTGCATCCCCGGGAGGGTGATCCCAGGGAGATCCCTCGGGATCGGTGTTTCTGCCACCGTGGTGCAGAGAAATGATGCCACCGGGGCAGCTTTGAGCAGCAGAAGCAGGGCGGGTCCCCCACCAACCCTTCGTGGGGGACGATGGGGACCGATGTAGGTGGCGTTTCGCATCCCTTTAAATACCCCAAAGGGCTTTTTGCTGCCTTGGCTGGAGCAGACCTCGTCCCGCCCCGAGCCTGCCGGCTGGGGTTTTGTTTTTTGCCGTGCTTCTGGGCTCCGGCGGTGGCCCGAGGTGCCAGGAGCAGATGGCAGCCATCGGCCGGGCTGGCTCTCAAGCCCCCGCTGCTCCCGGCACGGCGCTGGGCAGCAGCCGCCCGTAACCCCCTCGCTGCCGAGCCGGGGATGGATCTGGGGGGAGTTTTCTGCCGGGGATTTTCTGGGGGGTGCCAGGCACGACTTTTCATGGTCTGCACCATCAGCACGGGCACACCACGGAGTATTGCAGCGCCCAATGATCCCGGAGGTGTCTGCCCAGGTTAGCATCGCCCCACAACCCCAGGACTCCCTCTGCACCCCTGCCCGTGGATCTTTGCCCCTTTGGGCTCATTTTAGGGCTGTTTCAAGCTTCTGAACCGGGTGTGTTGGATTTGCCCTGGTGCCCCCTCTGCCCACAGCAGAAGGATGCGGGGCCCCCGGCTTCGCTGCTCTCCCTCCCCTCCCTCCCTTGGCCTCCCCTGCGAGAGCGACATTGCACCTCCTGCCCCCGGAGGGGCTGGGAAATTGGGAAGCGGCCAAAATGAAACAAGTTTTCCCCTCCCCTCCTGGGTGACAATTTCAGCCCCGCGGGAGCTCTGCGGCCGCCAACTCCCGCGGCCCCGGCCAGGAGCGCCCGCGAAGGTCGAGCTCCTGCTGCCACAAGCACGAGCGCTCGCCCTATTATCGTTATTGCATTTCTGTTTATTTTTTTTTTTCCTTTAGTGCTGCTCGTTCGCAGGCACTGCAGCCGGCTGAGTTGTTTCAGCCGTGTTGTGGCCCTCTCGGAGCAATAAGAGTGTCTCTGGAAGAGAAAATTGAGCAGCTCGGTAGCAGGCGGTGTCCTCCTTGCCGAGCGAGAGTGTTTATCCTTCTCGTCTTGTTTCAGATGAATAAATTTGCCAGACAGCAATGATATTAGCCCGGTCTCAAAGACTTTATCAATTTGCAGTTGTCTCTCCGATGATAGTTGTTTTTTTTTTTTTTTTTTTTATTGAACTGTCTGAGATGATTTCCAAAGAGAGGGCTGCAATTTAAACTATTAAGTAATTTGGGAGAGCAATTAGTGTTAATCTGGAAACTCCCTGTGTTGCTCCCGAATAAATCAACCTCTCAGTGAGGGCCGTGCTGAAAGAGCCCGTGCTGATTTATGCGAAGGGCAGGGGGGAAGGCTTTCGGTATGGAAAACAGCAAGGAGCAAGTTTGTTTTCTGGGAAACTTTAACAGGATGGTGCTGGGGTTCGGAGGGACCGGGGACATGTGGGAACGGAGCAGTGCTGCTCACACGTTGGGTCCCAGAGGTGTTGCACGGTGTGGTCAGCTGGGGCTGCTGGAGGTGATGCCTCTCCTCCCCTTCTGCTCAAAACCAGCCAGCAAAGCCGAGTGTGAGGTCTCCAAAAATGACACTAAGCTGTGCAAGCTGCCTCTTCTTGCCTAGAGCGAGCCCAAATTTCCCATGTTCCTGCTTCTCCTGGCATCCCCGTGGGAGCTCCTCTTCCCCTGCTCGCTTTTGGGCAGCAGGAGCCCAGCTCCACAGCTTGGGAGCTTGGTGGTCTCCTCTGGATGAGCTCCTGTGTGGCCGTGTCTGGACACTATTTGTCCTTGCAAGTGTTAAATAGAAGGGAATTGTCCCTTTTGCCTTTGCTTTTGCTCGTACAGCCCAGGAAGCTGTAGACTTTGGCCAAGCTAAACCATGGTTCATCCTCTGGTCCACCAGGGCCTCCAGGTCCTTTTCCCCAGAGCTGCTCTCCAGCCTTTTGCGCCCAGCCTGCTCGGACACTGGGGTCTCCTCTCCTAGCAGCCAGATGGGGGCTTTGCCTTTTGGCTCCCCGAGCTCCATGGGGCTGTTTCTCCAGCCCTGCCTTCTGATACCATCTGAAAGCGTTCCGAGACTGCACCCTGTCCTCAGTTAATTTACTTACCCAATCTTCATTCCACCAGTTTGACCACAAGAATGTTATGGGAGACAATCAAAAGCCTTGCCCAGGGGAAGTTATACAATTGGCACGGCTCTTCCCCTGTCCACGGAGCCAGTTCTCTCGCCCTGAAGGCGATCGGGTCTGCTGGCCGTGACTTACACCTGATAAATCCCTGCTGGCACTTCCCAACCGCTCTCGTCCATCGTGGGTGGAAACAGCTGCCAGGAGGATTTGCTCCATCACCTTCACAGGCGAGGCAAGCAGCTTGTGCTTCCCGAGATCCTCCTTGCTCTGGGTATCACCCATCATCATCCGCGTTTATCCTGTCCTCTGGAAACTGCCCTGATCCCCCAAAATCAGACAGAAGCAGCCCAGCAGGGAAGGGCAAACATCCCAGCCCCCACCTCTCCTGGCTCCCCCGGGTCACCCCAGGGCAGGTATTTCTGTCTGCGTGACGCCAGCTGGAGAGCCCCCACCTCTCCTGGAGCTGCTTCTGTTTGGAGCTTCTGCTGTGTGCTGGTGGCTGCTGCTTCCCCACTCAAATACCTCAATAATCCGCCAAGGGACCTCACATCTCCCTTTCTTTCTTCTTTTTTTCTTTTTCTAAAACAATTAGCTTGGCTCATGCCCTCTGCAATACATCAATTAATACAAGCTGAGGCAGTAAATTAAAGGGAAACAGGAACAACTATGCTGGGATTAGGTCACTGAAACTATAAACTTTGGAACAAATCAGATTTCCTTGGGAAGGGAAATGGACAGCGGTGATATGTCAAAAGTGAGATGAGACAGGCTCTGAGCAACTTTCCACTTGGATGCTGGATGCCAGAACTTCTTCCCCAGGGAAGTTCGGGCTGCCAGACCCTGCTGCTCCTGGTGAACGCTTGGATGGCAAAACAAACAAACAAGCAGGAGGCGAGAGAGGACGGGAGGGAGGGTGGGGGGCAGCTGTGTGCCTGCTTCGGGTGGTGGGAGATGTATGGGCTGGGCATAAGGGGTCGGGGAAGGCAGGGATGCCTTGGAGCTCCTTCTTGTCCTGCTCTCAGGCATCACGTGGAGCCGCTGGCTTCTCTAAAATACAAGAACCTGCACGAGAGGACGTGGGAAAAGCCGCCTTGTGCCCATGAAGCAGGTCCAGGACTGAAGCCCTGGTGGTTTGTGGCACTTCCCTTAGGGCTGGTTTCTTGGCCTTTAACCCATCTCCAAATTGTATTGTGAAAAAAAAAAATCAAGCTGGAAAGGTCACTTCAGTGGCAGAAGCAGCTGTTATGGCATAGGGATAAATGCACAGGAATATTTATTCCTTCCTGCTGGGTTCCTCTAATTGCATCTCCAGGCCTCGCTGCCGGCCAGATGTCCTGGGACAAGCCCCACGT